GGAAGGCCTGGGGGTGGGGCTGATACAGGGTGGAGGGGATCAATGGGGGAAAAAAAGGGGACATCTGTAATACTTTCAACAATAAATTTTAAAAAAAGAGAAAAAAGTGAAGACTGTAGAGATTTAAGAGGAAACCTTTCTTTGGAGACATTTTAATACTAAGAAGAGAATTTCTGACTTCATACAGACCAAGGGAGAAAGCCAAAATCACTCTTTGAGAATGGCAAATGAAGGCCAAGAAATGGAAGAGACTGATTTTTGAAGACAGTTTGATGGAAAATTGTTCAATTTTGTGTTCCTTGAGAGTGAAGACCATGTCTCTTTAACATGTATGTATCAGTCATGTGTTTGGGATGCTCATTTGGTGTTTTCTGAATGATCCTAATCCCAGAATTTGAAACCTGAAAGGAGATGGTACTGATTTGAAGAAATTCCAGTTCTCTATTATTTGAATAATGCTCTTTATGATGCCAACTATGAAATTAAGCCAAGTCTTAGGAACTCAATTCTTTGCTATTGGTATGTTTTTCTTTCCATGTCTGTCCACTTGAGACGGAAGAATGATTAAGAGGATCACTATGTAGACAAAGACCTGTGGATTTGTCCACAAAGAGTGTCATATCTATAACAAGTTTTATTTTCAGAATTTAAATATGCAATTAGTAAGGGGAAAGATCTGGAAAATACTAAGGAGTTAATTATAAATGGACTTCGTGAATGTCGAAGGAATGGCCATCAATATCTGCCTTAGGAATGCCATAGGAAAGGGCATTGAGTGACAGGCACACTCACCAACCTCCAGTACCCTTGCACTTTACTCCCTCCCCCCCATCTCCCCTCCTGCCGATGTTTGATGGGCTGGCCCACAGGCAAGTAGCAAGTAGGGAGTAGCCACAGGTGAACCCCTCTCAGGTAACCGAGAATTGACTTTAACAATGACTCAGTTTCTAGCTCACCAAGTTTATGGATATGAACCCAGTTTGAGACCCAACCTTCAAAAGAACTTAGCTGAAATCATCTCATAAATCTTTTAAGATAAGTTAGGAAGCCAGATCTGAAGAGGTTTCACGGTGAACAATAAAATAACAGGCGCCTGCACTGCGTGCCCCTAAGGAAAGCAAGTGAAAGACGCGGAATGCGAACCAAACGCTGTGTGCACTTCAAGGGCAACAGCGAGCTCACCCCACAAACTCTGCAGTCGCTGCTGCTTTTACTGGCTTGTTTATGGGGTTACAGGGCCAGTCCTGTTTACTCTGTCCCACAGTTAGTTATCATTATATACAGAAACTCAGCCAATGAATTCTTCCAGTGAGGAAACAAACTTCCTCGTTGTAATGGGGTAGCAGTTTTGCTTGTCATCGGGTTACTGAAACCAATCATTATTTGGGGGGACTGCTGAAATTATTTAGGAATCCCTTGTCCCTGGGCAGACAGACCCGAAGTTTTCGGCTGACCTTCACTGCTCTGCCATTAGAGCTGTAAATCTCCCTGGGAGGCAGACAGCCCTTGGGTAATTGCAGAGAGGGCAAGGCACAGAATTATAGGTTGTCTGGGAAGGGCTGAAAGATTAGACCTCGAGAGGGGAAAAAATAAAATGAATCATCATGAAGGGCAACTACTACTTAGGGTCAAAGTTTAAATGTCTGTAACCCATGTTTTTGTTTGACTTGCTGCTCGGATAATTAATGCTCTTAGGTCTTAGAATAATTGAAAGTAAAGCAGTACATTTAGAACAGATGAATTCATTTCAGAAAACAAAAAGGACATCCATTTTAAAAAATCTATAAGTCATTGAACACATGAAGACAAATACAAATGATCTAACTTTACTTTTCTAAAATGAGTAATTTCCTTTTTTTAGACTATACAAGGATATGACAGGTCTCTTTAGAATAAAAATGGTGGCATAATATTAGGGTAGATCCTCAACTTCTTTTTGTTGTTGTTTTTTGTTTTTTAAATATGTCTTTATTGATTTCAGAGAGAGGAAGGGAGTGGGAGAGAGAGAGAAACATTAATGATGAGAGTCATTGATCGGCTGCCTCCTGCACGCCCCCTGCTGGGGGTCAAGCCTGCAACCCAGGCATGTGCCCTGACAGGGAATCAAACTTCAATCTCCTGGATCATAAGTCAATGCTCAACCGCTGATCATGCCGGCTGGGCTCAACTTCTGTTTTTGAAGGTGTATCTCTGCATGTAGCTTAATTCGTATACTCTTTAAAACTTTGATATAGAGCCAGGGAGGATTTTGGAAGGAGTTAGAGGCTTCTGTCCTGATGTCTACAGAGGTGGTTGCAGACCCTGAACTTGAGGCAACATATCAGAAACGTCTGCCATGTGCTGTCTCATGCACACATGGCATAACCAACCAAGGTGGTCCCCTAAAGTTGCCTTTCTCCTCAGCAGNCATGTGCTGTCTCGTGCACACATGGCATAACCAACCAAGGTGGTCCCCTAAAGTTGCCTTTCTCCTCAGCAGCAAGAAGGCTTACACTGCATGTTTAACCATGCACTTAGACAGATTTTAAATATTTCTAGTTTTAAAAAATTTAATACAATGCCTGATAACTGAAGAACTAAATATAAAGTATTTTGTTTATTAGGAAAAAAAAAAGATTTTTATGGTCCATCAATAATATGGGTATTTGGATCCTAGTCTTATCTATTAGTCTGAGTTATACTGGAAAGAAAGATTTAGCATTAAGGCTTGGAAATGGGAAACTTTAAAAATTCAAATATTCCAGATATTCCTAATTCTCTAAGTATTTGAAATCAACTTGATAATGTATAAATAAAAAGCATGAAGTGGAAATCCATGGCAAAAGAAGGTGGTGGTAATTGATAGATTTGCAAACATGGTTGTTATTTTCAGGTGTTTGCTGAGAATCATTTTAATTGAACAGTGAGCATCTTTGTGGGTGACTAATCCCAAACACCTCTGCTGACAAGTATGACTGCTGACAAGTATGCACCTGGGATGGATGACTCTGATTCTGGGCAAATAATTCTTCAGCTCTGCCTCAGTTTCCCCATTGTGCAACATCTCAGAGTAGTTATGCCTTTCAAATGTCATGTGGAAAAACGCAGTGGAAATGAAATCCCTTGTTATCACATCTCTCCATGGGGCTGCTAGTGCTCCTTTTAAGCCAGGAGAGCCGAGGGAATGTGTGGCCTTGATCATGGTCAAAGTAACTGCAGGTACCTGTATCAACCTTGGGTTATAATGAGATCCCCGTGGACCTTGAAAAGGGGCCCTAATGTCTGGTCTGTCCCCATCAAGACCTAGCATATTCAATCAAAAGCAATTATGCAGATAAAGCTAAAAAAACAAAAATCCTCCAAGAAACCAACAAACACACTCCTCATTTCTGCCATCTAATTTCATCAGACATCTTGAAAGAAAATATTTTAAAAAAAATTCTCCAATATTGCTATATATCTCCGTTCTTTGCTTCACTTATTTTCACACTTTTCATGAAGAAAAGCTCTCTGCTATCTCCACATTTAGTAGCCAAAGTGGAGTTTTATGGAGGCCAGAGAGAGAGCTGCCTGTTTGCTCGTGTGAAGACCCATCTCTGGGGGAAGACTTGGCCAACCCAGGGACCCAAACCCAGCTGTAAGGAAACAGCCAGACGATGGCCGTGATCTCAGTTCATCCATAGGCTTAAACCATTCCTTGAATGTGTCCAATAGGTAGGAAAGTAGTCAAGTTTTGTTGACTGGGGCTCCACGTGTTACTCGTTTCATTCCACATCTTTCTTCATCTTGTTATTATAATAACTTTCCAAAGAGAGTTGTGCCCTCTGAGAATCTAACAAATCTCCAACTCTGAGTGACCTGATCGACCTGAAAGTTATGTTTGCTTGCAGCTTGCAGAGGTAAACCTTCTGTGCTCCTTAGAGCTAATTGTGCAGGGATACTCTCTCGTGTGCTGCCTGAAGCCCCATGCCAGGCACAGGATGGTATTTAAATCCTCTGATAACATGATTATTGAGTATTAAAAAGTAATTAAAATGGCTGCTTGTGACAATCAGTTTCATCAGCAACACTGAAGGAAGCCTGCCTGTGTTCTTAAAGGTGTAGACTGTGCTGATGTTTAGAGATTTGCTAGAATGAATAAACCAGCTCCCTTCCCAGGGTAGCAGGTAATGTCATTTGGCTGCGAGTGGGTCTTTAATTATGGTGAGACTGCTCAGTGCACCCCAATGGCCTTACTGCTTGCTCTTTCCCATTAATTTTGAAGTTGTAACCCAAGTCCAAAGCTGTCTCAGTGTGACCCTGAGGTTACTTGAGTTTCCCATTTGAGTCTAAGTAAATAATTGTGATCAGTAATTTCCCTCTGGAACCCTTAGAGTGAACCCTTAGAGTATGGCAATTACATGAAATTTGCTTGGCTCTTTCATGCATGCCCAGAGTTAGAAATAAGTGCATAAGGCATTTGGAATGATAATTTCTAAGATATGCCTGAGTCCCTCAATAGCTCTGTGTTCCCTCTCTGGCTCATCAATATCCCATTGTCACTTTTAACTGCACAAACTCAAGGAGATAAGGCAAATGGAGGGTATATTCTTTTAAGCCACAGAAAAGAGATATTTCTATTCTCTTCTACTAAGCTGAAACCATATATTTGTTCCAAGTATAAAAGCTAATGCTCGGGGCAATATTTTTTGTTTGACATTTTTTTTTTTTTTGGCTGAAAAAATATATTGCTATTTTAAAGTAAACTATGCCGTAGTTGTCTAGGAGATGGCTGGGTTTGGGAAATGAATTAAATAAAGTGTTATGTCTGAGAGTACACATTTAGAAGAGTATTCACATTCTCAACAGATCTAAAGGAAAGGCAATACATAATCAATAATGATGTATTGTTCGGTTTCTCTGAAAACCAAACCCTCTGTATAGTGACTGCACACTTTTCTGAGAAATCAATGGACATTAATTTTGCAGAACCACAAGTCAAATTTACAAGTGGAGAGAAATAAAAATCTTGACACATCTACTTCATAGAAATTGGGTAAATGTTTAATTATGCAGCTTATTTTGTTACCTTGTAGAATTTCTAGAAAGTCTTGTGTTCTAAAATACAAATAGTACTACAGAGCTTCACAATGACTAAACCATAAACTGATGTTATAATCTCCAATAATTTAAGAAATGACAAAACATAATAAAGTGGATAAAACACAATAAAGTAGAAAGGCTCTAAATTTGCTAATGAAAAACCCCACAATTATGTGTCAAATCTTTACTATGCAACTTAAAACCTTCACTATGCAACTTATTAGATATTGAGGAAGTCCCTTAATATCTTCTAACTTCAGTTTCTTCATACATAAAACAGAGATCTCAATAGTATGCTCAGGTCACAGGGTTGCTGTGAAGATAAATGAAATATTTATGACAGTGAATTATAAACCATAATGTGCAATGCAAATGTTATTCTACCAACAGTTAATATCACATGGCAAAAGCTCTTTAAGGATTGTAACCTTTGTTAGCTCTTTAAAGACCTCACTAGAATGCTGGTCTTGGAAACTCACATTTTTAATTATCTCCACAGATATTTATGCTTATAATTTGGATCGATGGTTGTAGTATGATAGTGGTGATTAATCATCTAAATAGCTTAGCTTCTCATAGATGTGGATAACAGAAAGAGTTAAATCAATAAGCTTTTCTATACATATATTCCATACATTCTTTTTGAAAACAAATAGAAATGGAAAACTATTAAATTAGCTAATGTAATAGATTTCAGCAAGGCACATGGGAAGGCCGGTGCACAGCATAGTAAAGAGGCTGAGGATGCCTTGGCTGCTCTGTCATTAACTGGCTGTGTGATTTCTTCTAAATCCCTTCTGATTCCCAGTTTCCTGTGTATCTGGATAAAGACAGGGGATCGCAGCTATGGAAGTGCTCTATAGGAAAAAATTATTGAGGGAGTGAAGGGGGAAACGTAGGCCAGGATGTGGCCTCTGGTAAAGCTGAGCCTCAGGGCTCCTGTTTCTGGCATAATCCACTGCCCCTTGGTGTCGGGAGGTGTTGGGAGGCTATTGGGAGGTGTAGGAAGGGGCGGTGGTGAGCTTTTAGCAGGCCACACTCACAGCACTGGGTGGCATGCCCCAGCCCAGTAAAGGGCATCAAGGTGGGGCACCCAACAGCATCTCTGACAACTGGCCACGTACTTTCTTACAACAGGAATTCTGACAGAAATTTATCTAACAGAAATTGGGGTAAATGTGTCTGATGAACAAATTCTCCCTAAAAGTGACTTGCTTCCTTTCGTCTCATGTTTGTCAAGCCGCTGTAGACGCTGCCTTTAAAACCCGGTGTGCTTTTCTTCCTCATATACATCCGCCACGTGGCCATGTCAGTCACAGAGTCACCTTGCCTTATAGGGCAGATTCCAAGAAAAAGCCGACACTGCAAGAAAAATGCTGAGTTGATTTAAGTGGCTTTGAGAACTAAGATATTGCTTCTCCTTTTTCAAGTTTTCTTCCAATTATCCATTTTCCATAAATCTGATGTTTTACTCTCTGATTGACTGTGGATGGCCAGAGGGAAGAAAAACTCTCATCAAAAACTAAGCATCAGGCATTTAATTATGTAAATTTCAGACCAAAATTATGTAACCAATAGTAAAAACAAAAACAAACAACCAAAAACGAGAACAAAAAATTCCCAAAACCCCAACTTAAAGTGGTTTCTCTCAAAGAGCCCCTTTCTCCCTCAAAAATTTCCAGAAACAAAGGTTTCCAAAGCTAGATAATTTTTGTTCGGGACATGCTGCATGTTTACCCTCATCTGAGAACTTCGTCACAAACACTGTGTAATGAATTAGTTGTATTGACGTACTGTTTATTGTCTGCTCTCCACTTGGCTGCAAGTATAAGTATAGGGGTCTGTCCTGTTCACCATAGTATCCCCAACACCCAGCCCAGTGCCTGGCTCATCAGAATTCTCAACCTTAACATATCACAGCTTTGAAAATTCCTGGAGTGGTGAAGCCCATTTAAATGTGTTAATCCAATGTTTCCCAAATAAATTTATGCACAGACCTCCCTCCTCACAAACCCACACAGCCCCCATCTGGAAAATATTTGGGAAAATACTACTTTCAACCAAGAAAAGACAATTCAGTAGAGGTTGGCATTTGGACTGGGTCTCTAGATGGTGACTGCTGATCATTTACCTTTTACCCTTCCCCAAACCCATTCTCCGTCTCCCTCTATCCTGACCTTATAGGCTGTATTACCTGGGCTTCATTGACCTCTGGTTTCTGGTTGGATTGGGCCAATATGAGGCAACTCAGATGGTCAAAGGGCAGGAGAAAAGAGAGATTTAGAGCATCTCACCCCCCGCCCCCACCCCCACTCCCTCTGCTTCAGCACTGACATTCTGTTCCTGGCTACATCCATTCAGGACAATTGCTCCTCTGCAGTGGACTCCCATTGATTCTTTCAGCTCATCCAGGCTTCAATTACATGTTCCCCCCCTCCTCCTGCCAGTTGTCAGGGTGATAATGACTTTCCCGGTGCTATACTTGGGAGCCTCAACTTTTCCTATAGGATTCCTTAATCATCTCCCAGCCTCCGTAAAGAGTCCTTTCCATTCATTCTCTCCAGAATCCCTCCAGAGCATGCCTTTTGTTTTCTGTGGGCCCCTAACGACTACAGTGATAGCCTCTTCAGCCTGGCAGGGACTGCCAGGAAGGAATCGAACACTCTCCTGGCGGAGTCAGAGCTTCACACAGTGGTTTTGTTATTTTGACTGAGGTTTTATGAATTCTCAAAATTTCAGCCACACCTGTAGAGGGGAGTACAAAAATAAATCCCAGAACCAAAGTAAAGTACTCCTGTGAGTTATCCATTTTTCTAGTTCACAGCTGGGAGGTGAACTATGTATTAGATGGTTTTAATCTATTCCTTATACAGATTCTGAACTTCAAAGGAAATAGGAACTTATTCCTTGGGGTCATCACTCCTCATTTTTAATATAGGTCTGGACACTGTAGGTACTCACTGCACATTAATTTAATTCATATATTCATTTATATGATGGCCACAGCTGCTGAGAACAGACGAAGTAGAGGCATTATCCATTAGCTTCAGAATAGAGGGTAACATTTGGGAGCACTGTGAACAAAAGGAAAGAGGGACACAGTTGTGAAAAGAAGGTACCAAATCCCTAGGTGTAATGTTTAGCATCTTTTTGTGTGATATAACGATAGACTAATATACTTACCTTTTATTATAACAGATTTGGCAATAATTAGGATCAGTCCAGTGGTGGTAGAGTGTCCTTTGGGCCCAAGAACATATGCTCTATAGATGGGATAATTTTGTCACTGCATGAACTATTGGCTTTCTAACTAGCTTTAGTATGTATGTTTGCCTTGGAAATCAATGGATATAGGATACAGCAAATCAAATAATATTGCAAAACAAAATTCCCTAAAATGTGTGGAGAGAAAACTTCCCATTCTGATGGTGGGGCTATAGAAACCCAATGCCATATGAAGACCCCCACTGTATCTCATGAGCGGTAATGGGGGTTATGACTAGGGAGGCAGACTTGGCCCTCCAAACAAGTGCCTGGGGCAGGAATCATTTAGTAAAGACACAGCATCCACCATAGTTGCTGTGGTTGAGGCTACTACTTGATTACTTTTATGGTGGACCTTCATAATTTGCCATAACCTACTTGGATTTTTCAAGGACTACAGGAGTATATTAAATGCAGAAATCAGTGTAGTAAACACAGAAAATACTCTGCATATTTATAAAACACCTCATGAAGCCTCCTGCAGCATTAATATAAATAAGTGACCATCTCACTTAGCACCAGTCTGCATTCCCACCAACAGTGCACGCAGGCTCCCTGTTCTCTACTTCCTCACCCCCACTTGTTGTTTGTTGGTACACTGATAATATTCATACTGACAGAAAGACAGGTGCCATATGATTTTGCTCATGTGGAATCTAATGAACAAAATAAACTAATAAGCAAAATAGAGACATAGATAGAGAGCAGGCTGACAGCTGTCAGGGAGTGAGGGAGCTGGGTGGGAGGGGTGGAGGGATTGAGAAAAAACAGAAGGAAAAACTCATGAACATAGGCAACGCTGTGGTGATTTCCTGGGGGAGGAGGAATTGGGGAGGTGGAGAAGGCTATTAGGAGTATAAATGGTGATGGACGGAGACTTGACTTGGAGTAGTGAACACACAATACAGTGTACAGATGATGTGTTGTAGCATTGTGCACCTGAAACCTGTGTAATTTTGTTAACCAGGGTCACCCCAATAAGTTCAATAAAAAAGATAAATAAATAAATAAATAAATAAATAAATAAATAAATGCATGACCATCAGTTATAGTGGGTCTTTCCCATCAAAGATTTTTAGAGGAGTAAACCCCACATGACCACTGCTTCTGTTTTTATCTCTTTTGCTGATTTCTTATCTTAGACCTTAGCTTCTTTCTTGTTGGCCTGCTTTCCATTACCTTGGAAATTATTTTGCAGGATCAAATGGTTGCTTTCTAGTTGTGTGTGTCTTTGAAATGGGTTGTTGTGTCTCCTTTCGGTGGAACTGGTTCATAGGATTTTGGGCTAAAGCTATTTGGGCAGCTAAACTTGTGATGAAAATAATGACACCCTAGTTCTCCTATTCTTGCTTATAATTACTTATTTTAATAATCATTTGTTTATATGCTTATCTCCTTCTCAAAGTATTAGTTCCTTGAAAACCTGTCTCTTTGGTCTTTATCTTATCTTAGCAGCTGACTCTTCCTAGGATGACTGAAAGTAGAAATGACATGTGTCCCCCCACCCTACCCCAGGGAGAGCCCTGACCCTGGCTTTTTATCTCTACCAGAAAGATGACATCAGAAACCACAAGTATATCCCCCAAAGTCTTAGCTATTCAGTCTTAACACCAAGTGTAGGACATGAACAGTCAAGATTAAGCATTATCTAGCCTGCTCTGGAGGTGACTGCCATTATTCCTCCTGAGTGAGATTAGGATCTAGGCTTGTCCTATTCTCGCTTCACACTTTGAGGTCCCAGCTCCATATATCTTCAGTGTTTTCTGGTTCTGACATAGGTAACTGTTTAACAGTTTAGCAGCATATAGCCTGAGAATCTCAAAACCCTTATTTCTCGTAATGGTATCTATCACTTGCATAAACCAATAGTCATTTCAGGTGTTTTTCCCAAAGCAAAATGATAGAATGCTGCAGAGTAGATCCAAGTCTCTAACTCTTGCCAGTTGAAAGAAACTTTGTTTTCCATTCCTACTATCTCCATTAAAATTTTAAATATTATGTAGGCAAGCTTCAGATAGAACACAAACCCAGAGTATTCATTCCATGTGCTTCCCACACTGGTTTCTGCATTTAATATACCAGTGTAGTCCTTGAAAAATCCAGGTAGATCATGGCAAATTATGGAGGACTACCATAGACTTGATTAAATAGTAGCCTCAAGCAACTGTGCTGAATGCAGTATCATTACTAGAACAGCACAGCCTCTCGTACTTGGTATGTGACCATTTATTAGCACATAAATTCTTCAGGCTGCATCAGAAAGTAAAAATCAAAAATATAGGTGACCCTTAAACAACATGAGTTTGAACTGTGAGGGTCCCTTTAGAGGCAAATTTTTTTATCAATACAGACCTGCACTGTCTTCAATTTGCGGTTGGGAGTTCATGGGTTCAGAGGGCCAACTGCTGCCCCATTATATAGGGGACTTGAGGATTCATGGATTTTCATATCTGCAGGGGATCCTGGAAACCAATTCCCCATGATACCAAAGGACAGCAAAGTTTTGGGGGCACCAAAAGTTATATGCAGATTTTTGACTGAGTGGGGGTCATCACCCCTAACCCCCGCATTGTTCAAGGATCAGTTGTAGTTTCCATCCATCTGGGATGAGGCAGCTGCCTCAGGGCTAAGTTAACTGTCCACCTCTCTGACTGACTGTAATTCCAAAAGTTTTCAGTAATTTTGATATTCCACAGAACATCACACAAATCCACTGCTGCCTAGTTATTTTGGGCTCCACATTCCAGGAGTCTTGCAGGTAAAAAAAGGAGTTAGTAGTGTTTCCTACTGACACTGACATCTGGAGGGGAGGGTATCCGAAACACTGGGGAAGCTTCCCTACACCTGCCACCATGAAAGGATGTTCCTCCGCATGTTCCCGGGGAACTCAGCGTTCCCTTATGTGAAGGCCTGCAGGTTCTGCTGTAAGGCCTGCTGCTTTCCGTCTGAGGGTGGTCCTGGCTGAAACATTATCGGCCCATGCACCGGGCAGGCTGAAATGCCAGAGCATCCTTTGGTGGATAAATACCCCAGCTGCTCCCCTCTCGAGAGGGGGCCAAATACTGCTTTCGACAGGTGATTGTTATATAAATTTAGAGAGAGAATGACCGCAATGGGCCGGATGTAAAAGGCTTCATGGAAGAGGCGGAATGTGACCTCCTAAAAGAAAGACCAGGTTTTGACCAGTGGCCAAGGGGATGGAGGATGTTAGGGTAGAGGAATGACGTGGGCAAGGTCTAGGAGTGTAATTGCTTTATCTTATTCCAAGCAGGTTAAGCTAATGTTCCTCTCTTATATGTACCAAGCACTGTGCTAGGTTACTTACCTACTGTACTAGGAAAGAAGCAGATCGATCTGACTGAGAGTAGAAGGGCGTTCAAAATGCACTAAGATCCGGCCTAAAACTTTGGATTCCAGCAACAGGAGTTTGAGGTGTATTGGTGGGATTTGAAGATGAAACATACAACATTTGAGAAGCTAATTAGGAAGTGTAAATAGCAAAGACTAGATTAAAATGATATTGGAGGGAAGACCAGTTGAGAGACCTTTGCCATAGACCAGATAAGGTGTGACCTGAGCCTCATTAGGATGAAGGCCGTGTGGAGTGGGCAGGAATCTTCAGACACGAGGCTGCCAAAGGTGTGCGTTAGGGAAAGGGATCGGTCAAGGACAACCCGGAGGTTTCCTACCTGCTGGTGGAGGGGGGGAGATATGAAATAACAGACAAGGACTGGTAAGTCTGGAGAGTGAAAGAAATCATTAACTTGCTTTACCGCACACCTCTCTCTTTCTGCAAATCCTTGCCCCTGGGAGCTTCTGAAACCTAATACCAAATTCAGTTCTTGTGGACTGGATTCACTGAGGGAGGAAGTGTTGAACCCGATTCTAAGCCTCTCTGAGCTCCTTCCTTTTGTATTTTTCATGTATCATAATATTTAATGGAAAGGGAATTGTACTTTCTAATTCCCATTCCAATTTGCCATCCTTATGGAGAATCTTATTTTCACAACACCAGGGGTTGGAGACTTTCTAAATTTGGAATTTCCCGGCTCCCATCAGGATAAGTGATACTTTTAATGTTTCTTAAATATAGTGTTTGGGCATTTAATTATATTATGCCAAATTAGTAAACAGCTATTTCCAGACAGGGCTGATTAAAATGAATCTGCAAGGTGTGGTATTTATTAGTATTTTGTTTTCAGGACCAAGTGATATAGTGGCCTAGCTCTTGAAGTTGAAAGATGAGTGGCGCCTAGAAAATGATATAACAGTGATGACAGCTGGTGTTTAAGTTTCAATGAAATAGTTGTTTTGATGATTTCTTATGGAACCGATTAGTCCCCTGAGGGTTGGGTGAGAGACACCTGTACGCCCCATTTTTCCTTTCTATTACTCAGCCCTGAGGATGCTTCTCACCTATTTGATTTTTTGCTCTTTTTCACATGGCTAGATGTCGTGTCAGCTGAAAGAGTTGCTGACCAGGGAGAATCCAGCACTGTAGATGCTGTAGATGAGATGGCTATAGATAAGGGACTGGGGGATTGTGGAGGAAAGATGATGAAAGAAAATGTTGTAAATAATATACATCTTCCCATTGGTCCTTCAGCTAAAGCCATGGTGAGCACCCTTCTATCACATGATTATTTGTCAGCAGAGTCCCATGGCTGCCATGTATCTTAGGGAATTCAATGTCTGTTGCTATGTTAAGTTCTTTCTTTGCAAAAATAAGGTTTTAGTTGTAATATATTCTAAAATACATATTTTTTCATTCTCTGTATGCCCCTCCCTGTTTGTATGCCCTTTCTTATTT